GAAAAAGTAAAAGAAAAAAAACAAGTTAAGTATTATAAAATAAATTTATATTAGCAGTTATACGATGATCAAAAAGAAAAATATTAAAAAAAAGTAAAAATTGCACAAATTGTATCACCTATTGGACTGGAATAACTGATAATTGAAAATAAGGATAAAATAAATAACATCCAAAATATAATCGATGCAGCACTCAACGTTAGCAGTAATAATATCTGAAATAGACAAAACTAAAAGTATATAAGAAACGAAAATAGAAATTTTAACAACTTTTGTTTTTGATTTATTTTTGGTTGTTAAAACCGTTTTTTTTTTTTTTTTTGCAATCAAAGTCATCAACTTTTTGACATATTTTACACTATTCAGACAACTTTTTTCACTTTTAATTACACTGTTCCATATTCAATTTTATCTAATTAGTTGAAAAAAAAAAGATAAAAAATTTTTTTTAATAATCGAAACTGACAGTCAACAGTTGGAGCAGCAACAAAAAAGTATATATTGTTGACAAATTCACAAAATTGGAAGCACTCATCCAAAATTGAATTAATCTTAAAGCTAGACTTTGATCAATCAAATTTAAAAGTTAGTTTATCGACAAAAAACACTTTTTTTATTGAAGAAGTTTCTGCTCGGTAATGAAATGCGAATCACTTTTGATACTACCAATGCCAGTAGAAAACCCAAAAATTGCAAAAATTAAAGATTGTTAAGAATGGAAACAGTTGTCGAACATCTTTTTTCACATACCTTACCAACAATTAACGGTATCATAAACACATCATTTTCTTTAAATAACCCGTATAGAAATAGTCCTATCAGAAATGCAATAGCCAAAAAACATAATGCTCCTGGAATCCAAAAGCAGTTACTGACCGACAGATCAGCCAATATCACTGCTGTTGTACAAGTAACAACACAGTCCACAACAGCAACCCATTTACAGGAGATCTATAATTGAGATACAAATTTAAACACTTTATTCTTTTACTTGTCACGCAAAAAAAAGAAGAGAAAATTTTATAAAATACATGAAATCAATTTTTTTTTTGCTTTGTGGCAATCTTCAATAAAACTTTAAAAATTCTTCAGAATTTTTCAATCGAATAGAAGCATCTCAGCTGGTTAAGCAGCTGAAAAAAGATAAGAATAAATGAAAGAATGATTGAAAAAGTTACCAATAGTGAGAATAACTTAAAGCAGCACTTTGGTTCAGGACGAAATCTTTCCATAGCAAGAAAAAATGACCTCAAATAAAGTATCATTTTCAACTTGCAGCAACCTGTCAGTAATGTAATTTTAATTGTCATCAACTAAAGCAGTTTTCTTTTCAAAATTTTTTTCTTTTTAAACTTTAAATTATACTTACTTTATCAAGCGGTATTCAATTTATAAGTCGGCAGAATGTATTCATCCCATTGATGGTGATATTAGCGTTCAGTTGAGGAAAAAAAAAACTTTTTGACAGGCCACTGATAAAGCGCAATATTTTACGAATAAAAATGATGGTTAAGAAGATTAAAGAAGAAACATCAATCTTATTTCTGTATAGATGATAGTGAGAAATTTAACGGCATTTCAGTTGCATCTGAAACACTGTATAGAATATAACTTTTGAGGTTCAAAACTGAGCTAACAACCAACATCAATATCATCACCACCACCACCACCATCACCACCACCAACAGCAACCACAGCAGCAGCAGCAACAGCAGTTAACAGAGCAAACGTTATTTCTAATAGACAACTACATATAAACGCTATACTCGCAACCAAAAATCCGTATCTAATGTGAAACAAAAATGTATTCATTTGAAGTATTGAACCATAAACACAGTTTGATAATTCAAACAGCCATAATATATTCATATGTTAAGCCACTTTCTATGCTTAACTAAATTCATCATTAATGGCTAAAGCCAACAATCAAAAAAAAAAAATTGAGGAAACGAGAAGAATTTAGCACACTGATCAACTAATCCAAAAAAAAGAAGAAGAAGACGAAGAGCTGAAACAAACTAAAATTCACATAGCCCAAGTAACAGTTGAACTGTTCAATAGTTTTAAAATAGAATATAAATGCAAAAAAAAAAAAAAAAAAAA